TAAAGCTGCATCAATCTAAATGTAAATAACTAATCTCCAGTCTGGGCCCTTAGAAATTTCTGATACTCAACCGCCCATTGAAAAAGTCAAAGGGCTCCTGGAAAGAGGGACAGTCCCTTCCCCCCAACAGGGAATACAACAAGCTTCTGCAAAGGAAGGCCCAGAGCAGGTGCAATTTTCTGCAAAGAAGCATCAGTTAACTTAATAACCTTGAGAATTATCTACATAATACCCTGTTCTTAGACTGGCAAACCTACCCAGTGCAAATATGCAAGTGAACTGAAGACCACCCACTGAGACTGATCTATGTAATCTTTTAAGGAAACCAGGGGAAATACATAAAAACCCCAATGTTTCGAAAGAAAGGTAGATAATTCACACTGCCAAAGCTCCCCTGAGTTTCCTTAAAGTGCCAGATCCCTTCACAACCATCTCCCTGTACTTAGAATCACAAAAGGCATCTATTAAAATTTTTGTTAGATAGAAAGGGTTTGAAATAAAATTTTACCTTTTCCAAGAAGATATTTACTGCCTAAGAGAGATACATCTGTTGAAATCAGCCCCTGGGTTCCCGCCTCAGGGTCCCTGCCTTTGGCTTGCTGAATGGCCCCAGAAGGTATGAATGAATTGAGGTTCACCACTTGACAACTTCAGCCATGTGTACTTGGGCAAATTCATCTCCCCAAGACTCACTTACTCCACTGTAAAATGGGGGAAATAAGAATACCAACCATCTAGGTTCTTTGGAAGTATTAAATGAGAATGTAAAATTAGCCCCATGCCTACCTAGCACATAGTAAATGCTCACTCACTCTCTGCTGGTGGTTTTTATAACCAGGGATCAGCATCCTCATCTAGAGACCAGGGGAAAATAAGGACAACAAAAATGAGACACAAATTTGTCACACAGTATTTCAGTACAAAGCTGAAGACTAGAAACAAGTCTCCTAATGACCAGAGCAGCCTCTGGGACCACCTCTGATGCTTCTGTAAACAAATGGTTATTTGAGAATAGACAGAAATACATAAACAAGAAAAGTATTGCAAGACTGTATGAAATGTTTCAAACATAAACCACTTATAGAATTAAAGCCCAGCACAGTGTTTTGGGATACACATTATCTTTTTGTTGTTGTTGTTTAGAGATTTTTTTACATTTATTTTTAGAGAAAGAGGAAGGAAAGGAGAAAAAGGAGAGAGACATCAATGCAAGGGAGAAACATCGATTGGTTGCCTCATACGTGCCCTAACCAGGGACCAAACCCACAACCCAGGCATGTGCCCTGACTGGGGGATCAAGCCAGTGACCTTTCGCTTTGCGTGATGACGCCCAATCAAGACATACCAGTCAGGGCAGGACACACATTATCTTGTTCAATCTTCTTGATAACCTGTGAGCAGGTTTAACCATTCCATTTCACAGATGAGAAAACTAAAGCCCAGAAAGGTTCTGTCATTTTCACACGGCTAAAAAAGTAGAGAGCTGCCGATTCTGTTTAGTCAAGGCCCATGCTGGACCCCTCACTGCCCTCAGGAGTCCTGAAGACTCACCTTCCCTCACTGGAACTCTTTCCAGAAGGACAAGATTGATGAGATCTTGCCTGTTGCACCGTAAGGGAGCAAAGAAATGGTATGCACACTGCCCCCTGGTGGCACAGATATATACATACAAACTCAGGGAAGCCGGGTCACTACCGTCTTATTCTACTAAAAGGCGAACCTTTCAGGAGAGGTAGTAGGCTGTGTTTGACAGAATATTGAAAACAAGATTTGAAAGGAAAGAACTTGGAAACAACACCTGGGGGATGAAAGACCCTGAATATCCACAGTTCTGCCTGGAGGGGCAGGGTAATCCCTAGACCTTCTGATTCTTTTCATAAAAATACGAAGGAGCTTGAGCACAGCATCATCAACCTTTGCATACTGTGCTGGACCCTGGAAAATTTGCCTAATAAAATAGTTCAATCAAAGGAAAAAAATCTGTATCCTCAAGACATCCACTATCCCATAATAACAAGAAGGCAGAGAGACACACGACACTCTGATCCAGCCACACCCTTTTGCTCAAAATGCCAAAGGTCTATCTCTGGCCTTTTCACAGCTGTCCCCTCTGGACAGATCACGTTTCCACTAGACACTCACAAGGCTGACTCCCTCATTCGAAACAGGTACCTCACCCAATGTCACCCGGGAGAATGCTACCCTGACCAGAGCATCGAAGACGCCCCGCCCCGCCCCCCACCCTCCCGGCTATGCTCTCCTTCTCTTCTTTGCACTCATATTCTCCACATTCTTTTCTTCTCTCTCACTTAGTCCGTCTCCCTCCTTTACCACGCAGACTCCAAAGACGGGCAGCACACCTGTTCTACACACAGGCACCAGAGCTTCCTCCTTGAACCAAAGGGCACCCTGCCTCTCGGGTGTCTGCTCAGCAGACACTCCACTCAGGCTAAGACCTTCACCTGCCAGCTTAGCCCACGCTTAACTTAATGACCTGGGCAAGAGCCAAGAAGAGAAAAGAAGACAATAGGACAGAATTCCATTGACCTTTTAATGATGCAGGGCCACAAAAGCCCACAAACTTTATGTGGAATAAAAGGTTTACCTCTTCCTCTCTCAAGTGTTTCAGCTTCTGAAGTTTCCGCTTGGCTTTTGAATAGCAGCTTCTTCCCAGTAAATAAGTTAATTATAAACCATAGACCAGAAAAAGGTTTTCTTGGCCACCTGAGTATTGAATAAGCAACAACACTTGCTGTTATAGATACAGACCATGGCTCTGGGAATGCAAAGAAATCAGATCCTAATAAAATAAGGTGTGCAGTTCTGATTTCCTCAACTTCAAACACGAGAGCCCTGATGCGATGGCTCTGGGACAGTCAATCTGCCATATCGCGGCCCCCTCAGTACTCTTATTGTGTTTCTCCACATCTGACTTGGACAATTTCAGTGACTCTAAGGGTCTCTTTCCTATATTATTTACAAATCCACATTGATGTTTTACCGTTTTCTTTTAATTATTGATTTGGGAGAGAGACATCAATATCAGAGAGAAACATCGACTGGCTGCCTCCCTTATGCGCCCCCAACTCACAGCCTAGGCATGTGCCCTCACTGGGAATCAACCCTACCTTTTGGTGCATGGGATGATGCTCCAACTAACTGTGCCATCTACCTGGCCAGGGCTATAAATATTTTTTAATATGATCCATAAGAATGCATTTTACATTGTAGCCCAGTGCTCATGTATCAATAGAACTAAATTTCGCATTCAATACACTCTGATATTTCCTATTATATTCTATTTCAATTTTTAGAAATGATAATCTGACCCACTAAAAATTGGTTTTGCAACCTACTAAATGGGTTTATGACCCACAGTTTAGAAATGTGATTTTAAATCCTCCTAGTACCCACAGTCCATCCTCTCTGGATTGGAACTCAAGCTCCATCTGAGCTGTCTGCACAATCCACAAGAATAAAGAAGAGGTGGCTTTTTTAAAAGGCGTGCATTTAAAAAGAATCCTCTAGCGAAAAAGACGCAAGAGCTACACAGCCCGAAGACCGGGGTGACGACAGGGGAGGGCGAGGCAGAGCAGGGCCGCGCCGCTGGGTCTGCGGAGCCGGGCAGGCCGCCCGAGCACGGCCAGGGAATGGCGACGTGGGGGCGCGTCCTCGGTCGGCCTCCCCAGCATGGGCCCACGGTTTTGTTTAAAGGGGTGCAGTCTCCCAGAATGTCAGACACACTCATGTTCCAACTCATGAAAAACATTCCAAAGAAAAAGCCTTTTCTGTCAACCCTGAGGCTCCCGACTCCTCTGTCTCCTCAGTCACCACGGCGTCATCTTCCTCTTCAAAGACTCTCCCCCACCCAGCCCCTCCCTTCCCTCCATCTCCTCTGGCCTCCAGTCCAGTCCGAGGTGAACGTGGGGAATCCACGCCCTGCACCGCGGCCACACAAGCCAACTCCCCTCACGGCGGCTTCCGCAGCTGTGCCTTCCGTGGCTCTGACCACTTTAAGGATACCTACATTTTTCTGGCTGACCTTCAGAATCTAGAATTTCCATTCCTAGCACATCCTCCCCACAGGCCATGCCCCCCGTCCCCCACACCGGCTGCTCCTCTCCAACAATCTCCATCCACCACACAGCACAGCGCTCCGTCGGGGGAAGGCTGATGGCGCACGTGCCATGAGGTCAACGCTGGGCTCCATGTCTACACACAGCCCCTGGTTCTCACTCTGCCCTTCTAGGGAGGCATCGAGACTGGAGATGGAATGCAGGTGGGCCGGGCAGACCCGCCCCCACCCCACGATGGCCCCGAGGACACCGCTCCAGCGCTCAGCTACACACACACCTGCTTTTCCTGCTTGCCTCCCAAGGGAAGCCACAGACTCGTGGTGAGAGCGAGTCTATAGGGCCATCGACTGGCCACCAGTGGTGAGGACGCTGGAGGAGGTCCCTCGGGGAGAATCCTGGCTGCACAAGCACCAATCAGCAGGTTTGTTTCTTTACATTTGGATGAGGAGGTCTGGATCCCCCTCCAGGGTGCCTTTTGGGGACTAGCTGTGAAAGCTAGTGACAGCAGCAGGTCATGGCTAGGTGTACACAGGGCCCTCACTCCTGGCTCCACTTTTTGCCTTCCTCCTCTTTTCTCTCTATGGCCAGGGTGCCTTACCTGTCTCTGTAGGTCGTCTTTACCCTTCACTAGGACACAGCCAGAAGCAAAAATATCCCATCTTGAGTCTTGCTTATCACCACCTACAATGCTCTCCCTGCCCTGGCGGAGTCACAGCCCCTGCAGGGAAGCACGTGCAAGGCTCACGCTCGGAGGCTGCGCAACCATCTCCTTTCCAGTCACACCTGGAATAGCCATACTTGACTGCAAGTCTGAGCTCCTCCCCACTGTGATTTCCCAGTCTCACCCCCAAGGAAAGGAAAGGGAGCCAGGAAGGCTTAAAGATAGAGAAGGCACCCAAGCAACCGGCCACAAACCCAGCCTACCTTGGTCAGATCCATTCCAAGTTTCAGCTGTGAAATGAGATGAAGAATTACACTACGCTGATCTTCCATGACGCCCAGTTCGGTCTCTTCCTTATCTTCAGTGTCACTTTTTTCATCTTCGGACAGAACCAATTCAGGGCCTGAGTTTGGCTAAAGAAAGATTATTGATAAAAATCACCAGCTCGTCCAGCAGGAGTTAGAAGCACAGCACGTGAACCCATGCCCAAACCTGCCCCAGAAAAAGTTTCTCTATAAACCAGCTCTACTGGGCACAGGGTGGAGGGTGACCTCTTTGGGGGTGCAGGTCATCTTTAGCTACTGCGCATACCCTCTGATCTTCCCATTACCCACCATTAGTAAGCCGTCTAGCTTAAGGGCTTTCTCTATCAAAAAATGTTTCTTGCCCTTTAAGGAACTCACTCTCACATACAGGGATGAGCCCGCTTAATCCTGACTATTCCTCTCAAACAATATTCTCTTATTAGCCTGCACAACCCAGGAGACTTTATATCTAATATAAATTTTTCTGTTTTTAAGTAAAAGTCTTAACCCAGAGAGTGACTGAAATTACCTCATTTATGTAAGGAAAATTTACTCAGACTCTTTCTACTATTCCACATCAATTAATATCACTATAAGAAATGTAAAAAAAAAATGGCTCAGAGCTGGCATTAATTCAGGGTGAGAGACAAAAATGAAAATGTAAAGAAAAACTCTTGACATTTTACAATAATGCTGAGATACATGCTGGCCAACAGGCCCTGTTTCCTCAATGCAAGTTTATTAATTCAACTGCTTGTTCCATTTTTCCAATGACATAAAAAAAAATAGGCAAGATAATAAACAAAATGTGCAAAAGGAATGACCGCGCATAAAATTTTTCAACACCCAAGAATCAAGAACACTGGCTACTATGTAACGTACCCTCGAAATTCTGATGAAAAAAGTAACCCCATTCCACCATACTACATTTATGTATGCTCTTACGGCACTCGTTTGTATGCAAGCAACAACACCCTGCATAAAACATTCTACAATCGCTTCTCATTATCAATGACAGGTCAGACACAGTGAATTCAATATACAGAAATGCAGGAGCTCATGGGTATTAAATAGTAAAGGATACAGACTAGCCCACATGGCCATGCAAAAACTAACGACTTATATAAACTTCATTAGACAGAATCATCTCATTTTATTTAAAGGCATTTCCAACAGACAAAGGCGATCTCAGTGACTGGGGTGGCCGTAAGCGCCTGGCCCAGCGTACACATTCCGGACACTCCTCACCAGCTCTCCAGAGAGGAGATACGGTGCTTCCCCCCCGGCCCCGGGGTAGGCATGTTTAAAACTGGAAGTGAAACAGATATTTTCCATAGACATACTTCTCAGATCTTTCTCAAGTCTTCTCTGAGTAGCCCCAATTCTGGGTAAACTGTGGGAAGCCTCAGCGATGCCCACAGGCCCTTCCCCCAGCCAGGAGCTCAGTTCTCTCCAGGGTGGGCCTCGCCCTCTGGCCTCCTCGCTAAGTGTGTTAGCTGACGTCATCAACAAGCGGCTTTGCTTGTAGAATATACTGAACTGAGGGCACTGGACTCCATCCTGGTTCAGAGGAGACTCATGGAGGATGTGTGGGGGCTCTGGGCTGCCCTGATTCTATGCTAGGAAGTCAGAGAACTCCAACAACATCCCTTCAGTGGCAAAGGTGCTGCTGTTCCTACTTCTGTGGTGAGCTGGTGGGTGGTAATTTCTATCAACAGACTTCCCCTCAACCCAAAGCAGCTGGCACAGGAGAGCACAAGGCCCAGGTATCTTGTTTTGGGAGGAAAAAGGAAAATCGAAAACAAATCAAGGTCCCTTGCACCCAAGGGTTTGTGGGTAGCGTGCAAAGTCCTTAAACGTCTCAATGAGAAAGGTAGTTACATTCCGAGTGCAATATTTCTGCCTGAAATCAGTTGTTTTCACAAAGTACTGGTGGCAAACTAAAACAAATCAATAGCTCAAGTGAGGCAGTCATAAGCTTTCTGAAGCAAAGAATGATCCTCCTGAAATGTGATTTCCCATTTGCTTACAAACCAGTGCACAGGAAATCACCATCCTGCCCACTCACTGCCACTCTCAGTGCTATGTGTTTGCAGACCACCTGGGACCAACCACCTCCTTCTGCTGTTCTGCCTTACTTGTAAATTAAGCCTGGCTAGTCCCTGATTCTAGAAACCAGGCAGCCTTCAGCAAGATCCTGCAACGTGAGCCTAAGAACATACATCAACGCGCATGCAAACCTCTCCAGCTCTTCCCACTTCAATCAACGGCACATTTCCTCTGCCTGCTGTGACTCTGAGACACTGGCTCCGGCGGAGAGAGCTGAGGCTGGTACACGGGCCCCAGAGGCTGACTCACTCCAGGTGACTTGTGGCCAGAGGGCCTGAGGAACCCGAAGTCCTGCCAAGGGAAGAAAGGCCACGGGGAGCCCGACACACATCCACCACATTGGCTCAGGTTCTTAGCAAACTGCACCCTAAGCTTAAACAAGAATTGGCAATATTTCTGTCTCCCACAGCTTCCGAGAACCTGCCCTTTCTCTTGCAGCATGATTTGCAAAAAAAATCTCCTACCCAACCTCAAGTAAATAATCAGGTGTTTTTTTGTTTGTTTTTTTAAAGCTGGTTTCATTCATCACATTGTTAGTGAACATCATAGAGAATACCCACAATTCCACCCACTCTGGAGCTCAATCAGTCCACCTGAAGGAAGGTGAGACCACCCTCGGCTTTGGGCCCAAACATGAAGGTAGCATGTGGCTAGAACGGTGGGACTATTCAACAGGGGAACTCAGTTTGAATGGTATCAACTGGCAACGTAAATACAAATATGTCAACATCCACAAAGCAGGCAATCCACCCGTTAGCAGGCAATGCAAGACAAGGAGGGTTTGAAGAGCCAGGGTCTGAAGGAGTTTTGCAGGCAGAGAGCCTTCTGCCCTTTTGGGGTGAAGGATGTGTTGATGGTGCTACTCTGATGAAAATCCAAAACGGCGCTAATGGTCCCTGGCTCTAGCTCTCTTCTCCATCATCAGGCCCATGTGCTCTCCTTCTCACCGAGTCCTGCTTCTGTCCCGGGGGCCCCTGCAAGCCCCTACCCTCTGGTTCCTGGGGACTTCTGCTTATAAAGCAATGACAACTGCCTCGAGGTGGTCAAAGGTGGCAGGACAGTTCCCCCAACTCAGAAGAAAACTGAAAATGAGAAATGGTTTTATAATGCTGAGGAAGTTCTTAAGACTTAAGCAGAATTTTAAATCCCCCATCCCCCAGAGATCTTTGCAAATGAGCCAGCCCAGCCATAAAAATGTACACAAACTTGAAGATAAAATAGAATTGAAATGTGTTTTAAAGAGAAGCAGGCTTTAGAATGAGGTTTTTAATAAAAACAAAAATTATGACTCAATATTTCTACCACGTGAACACCTCAGAGCATCTGGTGCTACAAAAATCAAGTGACTCATTGTGCCTATTAGCAAACAGGGGTAAGGACAAGCAAATCTGATCAACAGGAAAAAGCCACATGGCAGGCTGGAGTTTGGAGACAACAACTCCTTGGTAGCTTAACAATGACCCGTGCCCAGAACAAGGGTTCATAATGCAGGCTCTATGGACACTCAAGATATCTACCACTACCCTTGATATTTTATATGAAAATTGCGGCATTTTTCTGGAGAGAAGGGGCCCATGCTGACCTTGGATTCTTAGAAAGGTGTCTGCCCCTGGGCTGACCTCAGAGCCTCACAAGAACCAATGGGTCTGAGATCATGAAAGAGAAAGAGAGAGAGAGAGAGAGAGAGACCCACAGGGTGGGAAGCGGTCTAACCAGACAGTCCCAGCGTCTGCAGGCGTGCCCCTGCCTCTAACCGCACCTCTACTGCCCATCCGGTCGCCAGCAGCACATCCACGAGACAATGGTGAAGCCCAGGCCAGAAGCAAAACCGTGACTTGTGTTCAACAGTCTTCTCAAGGGGGAGGCCAACGTGGAGGAAACACTGAACTTTGCATCCGTCTCTTCTTTTTAACAAAAACCTAATTCTTTTATACAAATGTAAATTCCAAGCCAGGCTGCCATTCCAATCTATTTTTATTCAACACATATATGTAACTTAACTATGATTTAGTCAGTTCCAGGAAAATCCACGAGACAGACATTTTTCTTCAGAGTCCATTCATTTCCCTACCGCGGGCCTCACCCCACTCCATGCCCCCCAATCTACCCCCTTTCCTGAGCCTCACTCTTGTTTTCCTTTCCTCTGTGTACGCAGTCCATCCTTCTTTGTTCACAAGGATCTTCTCTTCTTTCCTAACCAAGATCTGGCCCTCAGAGACCTGGGGCCACTATAAGCAGTTTGACCGACTAACATCCTCTTTACTTGTAAATCCCTATTAACCTAGTGTCTTAACGCAAAGGGCTGAATCTTCAGATTTGAGCCAATTTGAAAGAGGCCTGGGGGCTGCATAACCAACCTCTGAAGAAGCCCTCTTCCTGTTGAACCAGGAGCCAGCCCATGCCAGAGCCCACATACCACAGACATGGAGGTGTGAGGGATCTACAAAGAGTAAGTGGGCTCCTACGGCCATCTTCTGCCCAAGTCAGTAAGGGTCAACAGAAAAATAGAACCCTCTGAGTTCAAGTGATCTGTCACTATCCTGAAAACCTACCTGATCAAGGACAGAAAAGAAAGCCACCTTGAGCAAGAATATCAGATTCTCTTCCAGTGGTGAGCAGATCACAGCGCAATCATTTTAAAGCCTGGCATTGCTCCCCATACTCTGTTACCCTGGCACCTGGCACTGAGTCATACCAGAGAGTCTTGGTATCAAATGACAAGAAACAAACATTGTCCAGATATTGTCTTTATGGGAAAATGGGGAAACCTAGCCATGTCAAGAATACCTGGTATTCTGAGGATAACAGAAATGTGGGCAGTGGAGAAGACCCAAAGCACCACCGTTGATATCCTCAAATGAGAGAAACATCATGACATACAGCCGGGCGAAGGAGTAACCAGGGAATGTGTATCCACCTATGTAACTTATTCTCAATTCCACAACTACAAAGAACATGCAATAACATGCAGCAATGGCCATCTCTGTTCATGAGGGGAT